GTCCTGGAACTCGACGTGTAGACCAGGCTGGCCGAGGACTCACAGAGATCCACCTGCCTCTACCTCCCAAGTGTTGGGATTAAAGTTATGTACCACAACTTTTAGAACCCTTACTGTGTCTCTGTTGGTAAGCTTTACATTGCTGTGACAAAACATGATAGCCTATTTGTCCATTTATTTATTTTTGGTTTTTCGAGACAGGGTTTCTCAATAGCTATGGGTAGTCAACTTGTAATAAGGAGAGATTTGTTGTAGCTCATGATCTCAGTGGCTCCAGCCAGTGGTCAGCTGGCTCCATTGCTTTGTGGCCTGAAGTAAGATGTGACATCATGTCGGGGAGCACATGGTGGCAAGCAGATGGGGGAACAAGCCTCTCCTTCTCATGGTGACTGGGAAGCAAAAGGAACCAGAGAAGTCAGGTTTCAATATCCCCTCAAAGGGCTTGAATACCCTCTGATTAGGTCACTCCTAAGAGTTCTACCATCTCCTAATAGTGCCGCAGGCTGGTGACCAAGTCTTTCTCATACAGACCTTTGAAGAACACCTCCCGTCCAAAAGATAACATTGTCTGTTTAGAACCATTCTGCTTAGAGAACAGCTGGCCTAGCAGGCAAGGGGTAGGCGGAGGGAAGAGATGGGTCTTCCAGCTTAAAAAGCATTGCATCAGATCATGGGGATGGACAGAGGTTCTCCCAAGGCAGATGGTTCTAAGCAGCCTGTCGGAGACATCAGCCCAAGTGCAGGCAGACAACCAGTCTTGGATCATTTACATTTACTCATTGATCATAGCTGTTCACAGAGCACCTTCCCCTGACCCTAGCTGGCCAGGCAGAAGCAATTGAGCTCCCAGCCTGTGATGATCTGGGTAGGCCTTAGTTAGGGCGGCATCAGACTCAAGAGCTATTTAGTATTAAGGGCCGGAGGATGGCTTGGAGAGCCAGTACAGGGATCTACGGATGAGCGGTCAAGCCATGCCACTCACCAATCATGTGACAAGGTTATTTAACGTTTCTGAGTCTCATCGTTTCTTGTCTCAAAAATGAAACAATGAGGGCTCAGCTCCCAGAGGTGGTGGCGTGTTAGGTGAAAGGTAACACTCCATCAGGTCATGGCAGAGCGCTGGCTTGCTCACACTGGAGGTCCTTGAGTGGCTGGGATTGTGGATTGTGACCAAGTGGCTTCAGAGATTGCCGTGAGACCTTTGGAGGTTTGAACAGCTTAAACAATCCGGGGCTCTATTAGGCCTGAAGGCCGATTGCAGATTTCCCGTTGCTCTTGGAATTTAGCACTTTAACCTGCCCCTATGTGGGGTGATGTGGAGTACTCTCGAGTACTCCCGGCCCCTCCTGCCCTGACACATTCTAATGCAGTACTGAAAAGGCAGAGGCAGCCAAGGAACTGATAAACGCTGCTGGGTTTATCTAGACTCTCTGATCTCAGGGTTTCAAAGATGGTTAGACAAATATCTAGCAGCAGATCAGCTTCATCTTCATTTCCTAGGTAAATAATCTGAGCCCCACTCCCCAGGGAGGAATAGACCCACACGTGTAATCTAGGTCAAATGCGTCAGAGAGGAGAAGGGATGTCATAGATGCAATGTTTTCAAATTTCACACACACACACACACACACACACACACACACACACACGAAAACCTCTCAAAGCGCACATTCTTGGATTCTGTCCACAGTCTAACTGGGAAATCTGGGTGTGGCTCTAAATTCTGAGTTTCAACCTAGGCTGTCTGAAGTGAGTGGTGTGTGTGTGTGTGTGTGTGTGTGTGTGTGTGTGTGAAATGTCATTTCTTTTAATGTAGTAATGGTGACAATAGCTGGTAGAGCTTTTTAAAAGTACTTATTTGCCAGAACTCTCTGCAATGGTGAGCTCCATACTAAAAGCTTTCTTTTATGTGTTTCCTTGGTTATGGTGTTTCATCACAACTGTGGAAAATTAACTAAGATATGTATTAATATATTTAGTAGTTAGGAATGCAGAGATGGCACAGTAGTTAAGAGCACTGGCTGCTCTTCTAGAATACCTGGGTTTGATTACCAGCATACACATGGTGGCTCACAATCATCTATGAACCTAGGTTCAAGGGTTCTGACGCCCTCTCTGGCCTCTGTGGGTACCAGGTGTGAATATGGTACACATACATACACACAGGTAAAATATTCATACATATAAAACTTAATTTAATAAAAAGTACATGGTAGGACTCTTTCCTTACTACCCCCCTCCTTTTTTTTTTAAAGAGACTGGATTGGAATTGAACTTGTTCTAGCCAAGCATGGTCTTGAACTTCCTCTTATTTCTACCTCCCAAGTTCTGAGATTACAGGTATATACCACCATGTTCAGTTTTATACAGTTCTGGGCTCAAATCCAGGGCTTTGGGTAAGTTAGGTAAGCACTCTAATTGAATTCCTAGATATACTTAGTACTTGGAATTTTCAAAAATGTGCTTTAATATTGTTGTTAAGATCTGTACTGGTCTTTTGCTTTATTTTGAGACAGGGTCTTACTATGTAGCTCTGGCTGTCTTGGAACTCACTATGTAGACTATGTTGGCCTTCTCCAACTTGCAGAGATCTGTCTTCCTCTGCCTCCCAAGTACAGTAGTAGTGTGCACCACTACTCCTGGCCTCTGGTGGTTGGTTTTTGACAACTTGATACAAGCCTAGACATATATGGGAAGAGTGATTCTTAACTGAGAAAACACCGTCATAAGATTGGCTTGTAGACAAATCTCTAGGTCATTTTCTCAATAAATGATTCCTGTGGGAGGGCCTAGATCACTGGGATTAGTGGTACCCTGGGCTGGCGGTCATGGGTTCTATAAGAAAGCAGACTGAGCAAGCAATGGGGAGCAAGCCAGTCGGCAGCACCCCTCAATGGCCGCTGCATCAGCTCCTGCCTCCAGGCTCCTGACCTGACTTCCCTCAGTGATGGACTGTGACTTACGTATTGTAAGATGAAATAAGCCCCCCACCCACCCCCCAGTTGCTTCTGGTCTTGTGGTTTTGTCACAACAATAGAGACCTTTACTAAGACAAGGTCCGTGATCACTCAAAACACTCACCATTGCCCGTCTGTTTGGAGATACTGAATAAAAGGGAAGAGTAACCACGCTGCAGCTTCAAGGCTCTTCATCCGGAAGATGCTGTACTCTTTGATGTAGACAAGCACTCCAGTTCAGCTTGTGTGGGTGGAGGAGGAGGCCGAGAAGACACATGCTAGGACATGATGCCTCCCTTGTGTTGGGACTAAAGGGTACTTGTTTTCCTGCTCAGTGAGTCCGCTTGATGTTGGATTTCTGTCCCTAGAGGCCTTCCGTCCTTAGAGCACTCCAGGCTTCTTTTCTTGTAGAGCGAATGATCACCTCACCCTGAACAACCAAGAACAAAAGGAGCCACATGGGACACACTACACAGAAAGCCACATGTGGGATTCAGACTTAGGATGGCTACGGCCTGAGTTCATCCTTCAGTGTTCACGCTGGCACCTAATCCTCAATGCAATAATACGTATGCCAGGAGGAAAAGAAACACAGAGAGCCACTTTTCAAAGCCTCATGCATGTGCTTAGCATCCCACGAGGGCATGAGGGATGAATTCACCCCTCCCATCACTTTCACCCATCTCCACAGGAGCTCGCCGTAGAAAGGTGTCCATGATCAACGACTTGTCACCAGGCATGGAATCTACCAGCACCTTGGTCTTCCAGACTCCAGATGAGCAAGAAAAGAATTTCTATGATTTATAAATTCCCCTAGTCTAAGGTACTTTGCTATTTGCTGCAGGAGTGGGCTAAGAACCTATTTGTACCATTTCTGCCCTTAAACAATGTACTTTTGCTTGGACTTTGCTTAAAATTCACACCTCTTCTGTAAGCGAGGATTAGTTTCATGTGGGGGTGTATGCAGCAAGTCAGATGTTGGCGCAAGGCTGTACTGACTTCCGGAACGAGATTGGAAACTGCCCATCTTCCGTTGCATGCCGGAGTGGTGCTGAAGCATAGGCTCCTGGAAATACCCACTTGTGCTGGCCTCGGTGAAGGTGCGCAGAAAGAGGGACTGAGAAGCCCTCAGGCCAGCGCCTTGCTTTGTCACACACTATTCTGTTTCCAGATGTTTGCCACGGGAAGCAGATTGTGTCTCCACCGTGCCATCTGCCTTGGAAGGCCAGCTCCACAGACATCAAAGCTCGCTTGTCAGAGTGTTGCAGACTTTTCCAGTCTGTGTCCCCACCACTGCCCCAAAGCTGTCGCCTTCAGCTGTATACCACGGAAGGTAGAAGGGCTTTGAGTTGCCAACCCAGGGGCAGTAGCATCACTGTGCATGTTAAGGGAAAGGCCCAAGCGCGGAGTTCATCGTCCACTTTCTTCTTAAAGTTCTCAGCTCATCTTAAAAGAGAAAAGACGGTTATAAACAGTAAGGAGATTAGACTCTGAATCAAGTGTTCTTTATCTTTGCCAAAGAAGATGCTTCATTCGAAAGGCTTTATCACCAGTAGGTTGACAGGTTACTACAGTCACTGGCTTAATTTAGAGAAGACTGGAAAGCAATAAAACCCCTCCCTATCACAGGCTCACCTGCATCTGCAGGGTGAACTAGACGTCCTGAAAAGTGTGTGTGTGTGTGTGTGGGGGGGGTGATGAGAATAAATGGAGACAAGAATAAAAATCCCAAATGACTTGTTACAGCCACGCTTTTCATCCCGAGTCTGACAATTATATATATATCCGTATGATAATATCTAACAGGAAAAATGTCCGCATGAGGGAGAGAGGAAGTGTCATTTCATTTCATAAACTCCATTCATTTCAATATATGGACATTTTCACGAAATTACATAATGTTTTTTCCCTTCTAAATTTCACCTCGGGGTTTATGAACGAAATGCCATTCTGACATGGTTCTAAATGACCAGATGAAGATTTATCATTGGAGTGTAAAGTGGCTGGAATAATACTGACATAGAAATAATTGCATTTTGGCAGGTGGTCTTGCAGTTTCGTGATTAGACCTACAAATTCAATGTCAGCAAGCTGTCTGTAGATGCCTTCCCTGGATCGTCATGAAGAATGACCTGCTTCTCCAAGAATCTACCTTTCCGAGGCTCATAGGCAGCTAATGTACTTATGTTTTCAAGTTGTACAAATGAAGAAATGGGGGTAACAGAATCATGTGCTTTTAAACAATAAATTCTCCCCTCAGAAATTGGCAATATTTAAGAGAGAAAAGCCCCATCTAGACAACCAGATCCTGGAAAGGTTTCATCCCAGTTGAAGGATGTCGCCAAACAGCTACAAGGGGTAGCAGCATGTACGCCTGTGGATGACAAGAGGTGGGTTGCTATGGATATGCTTTGGAAGCATCTTAACTACTCTCTTTTGCAGTGAAGAGACATCACAATCAAAGCAACTCGATTTAGTTTGGGGTTGATGGTCCCAGAGGGTAGTAGAGTCCAAGACTGTTGTGGAGGGGAGTGTGGTAGCAGGCGAGCAGGGAGGCAGGCGTGGTACTGGAACAGTAGTTGAGAGCTTACACACTGAGACAACAGACATGAGGTGGGGAGAGAGAGAGAGACAGAGACAGAGACAGAGAGAGACAGTCAACTGGAATGGTGTATATAGGCTTTTGAAACCGTCTTCAAGTAGGCCACCCCTCCTAATCCTTCCCAAACAGTTCCACCAACTGGAGATCAAGCTTTCAAACATATGAGCCTATGGCGGGGGGGGGGGCTTACTTATTGAAACCACCACAGGATACCATGAAGATCTCATTGGGAGAACTATTCCTCGGAAGCTCTTACGTGTCAAGCGCTGTTCTGGATATTGAGGTGACAGAAGGAAGAGATACAAATGCAGGTATTCAGGAACTTGTGTGCAATGGGGAATCTAGGTAACAAATAAGAACAGTAATGTGTCTGTCAGCTTTCTTGCCTCTGTGACAGGTTGGCTGGCATAAAAAGAGGCAGGATCAGTTGGCGCATGGATTCAGAGGTTTCAGTTGGCTGTGGTGGGGGCAGGGTGGTGGAGCAATGCACATCGTGCCGGAGAGAGAGCAGAGAGAGAGAGGAGAGCCTAGGAAACAGGTCTAACTCTCAAAAACCCAGTCTCGGTGAGCTACCAGCAAAGTCCCAAACGCTGAAGTCTCTGCTGCTGCCCAAATTAGCACCACCAGGTGGAGATCAAGGGTTGATATCCTGTGAGGAATACTTCATATCCAAACCATAACAAGAAAGAGATGTAGAAACAAGACTTCAAGGAAGAGAGAAATAAACGGGTCTACTGCTGACAGTCAATAGTGGTCCAGACTGATGATGGGCTATAGATTTCACAAGAAGGTCCCTGCTGATCTCAGTAGACGGAGTGTATGGCTAAACTAAGTATCAGGGTTCAAAGGAAACCCATTTTCAGCCCTCTCACAGTGATCTTATTAAATACCTACTTTGTGCCAGTCTGTGTATGGCCACTGGCAATGCCACTGTAGCCATTAATCAATGCCATTCCAGTTGGGAAATGTGCTACAGTAACTCAGCCTCCACAACACAATTAGAGGGCTACACGCTCGCAGTAAATCCACCTAGGAATTATACTGGCTTACAGCCTATTAACTTTTACCACTTCCTTAATACAAAGGGAATTTTATCACCAATTATGCAGCAAGTTAAATTAATATTTATAAGAGTCTCAGAGGCCAAGAGGCATGATGAAATTTCTAGGTGTGCCTGGCTGGTGCTGGATTTCTTTTTCCCCTTGTCGTCTCGTGGTCCCTCAGTGGGGATGAAAAACACTAAGTAACGGGAACCCCCACTCCCGTGAAGGGTTTTTCCCTCTGAAAAGTGGAAACTGGGAAAATCCTTTAAAACCCAGGAAGAAACTTACTATTGCTTATGTTTCCATCATCAAGCCCATGTATTAGTAACCCCAGGGAAAGCACCCCTGAACTGCTCTGGCTGTCCCCGCTCCAGGAAGTGTGTGGCCTTTGGATTCCAGACAGCCCGAGACCCCAGGGTTTGTACAGTGACCCAACGTCACACACCCTTTCCTGCTCTGAACTTGCCCAGGCTACTGTCTCCCAGAAGCCTTTGCAGTTATTAGCCTTCTTTATCCACTATCTTCTTCCTCATGGCCTGGAAGGCTCTTCAGAGGCAGCTGAGTTCCACATTGTTTCCACCTGGCCCCATTAGGTAGGGGCAGGTCCCCTCGTGGGAGGCAGCGGATGGGAACGGCCTGTGCTTTAAAGTCATCCTGGCATCACGGGGCCTGGCTCTGTGTCCTCTTAGCCATGTGAACTAGTACATAATGCTAGATGATGCATGGCCCGGTTTCCATTGTCTCATGGTAAAATGCTCGTAGCTGTGTAGGCAGAGGAAAGTCAGGCTCAGTGTTACTCACAAAGTTTAAATGTGGGGGGTTGGGGGGCGGGTTGGGCGACATAGCAAACACCCCTTTGTAACAGCTTAGTAATCTGAACAGAAGAACCTTTGACAAACTCCCCAGAGAGCTTAAATATGTCCCCTCTCTCACGGCCCAGGTGGCGACGCCAGCAGGCCATCCTTGCTCAAAAGGCTGGTGGAGGACTGAGGGGCACACCCTCATCAAATGCCAGTTCTTTCCTCTCAGCGAGGCCCCGCCCCTCCACACCACCTCCTCCAGGTGATCAGTTTGGAGGGACTTGGGGTGTTGAGGAGCCAGCGGAGACAGAGGGGGGAGGGGAGGGGGGAGGAGCAGACGAGAAAAGCAGGAGGAGGAAGAGGAGAACAGGGAGGGCAGGATGGGGAGGGGAGAGGGTGCTGAGGAGGATGAGGGGAGAAGAGGGCAATGTGCGGAGGCGAGCGTCTGTTCAGTGAGTGACAGGGGTTAGCATGGCTTGACTGAGCAAAGAAACCAGTCAAGCACCTTGGAAATCCTTCTGTGGTTTGATGGCCTCATAGACTAGACTGGACAGAGACAAAGAGACGCCTCAACGGGCCACACCCAAAGTAATGGCCCACTGCTATTGGAAAAGTCTCCCAACCCCACCCCAGGCTTAACGGATACTGATGGCCACATGTTTCCTGTGCACAGCATTGAAGCATCACCAGACCCTCTGGGGACATTTCTGTGAGTGTCCTGCTGCTGTTCCTTCTTGTGGGGAGGAGTGAATAGCATCTATTCAGCCCAGATGGGGCCCAGACAACACGCCGACGAAATGACTCCTTGGTGAGCCAGTGAGTTTATTGGGGTTACTGATGGGAGCTAGCGTGACTCAGGCAGCTTCGTCCCTGAAAGTCTCACCCCAGCATAGGTGATGACTTATGAGAATGACATTCCAGGAGTCCTCTGTGCACCTTGCAGGCAAGGCCACCAGAGTCCGCACACACCCGACGATGGTTTGCTGTTTATAACCCTCTGGGTGGGACCTCCCGAGTCTTGGTGCTGCCCTGTGTGTTATATTTCAGTTCTTTGAAAATAGCTTTGCAACGACCCTTTTATCATTCCAGCAGTTGGGTCTGTCTTGAAAGATGTTGAGAGTCGTGGGAGAAGTTTTCCTAGGGGTGCAAGAGAACCTTTGGATGAAATCTCTGCGTCATGAAGCTCACATAGGTCTTCCAAGGCAACAGAGTAGCGCTATACAGAAGTAATCGAGCAAAGCGCTGCACCATTAAGGCAACCAAACCCGTTTGCTCTTAGGCAAGGGAAAGTCACAAAATGTAAACAAGAGTGGTGTGTGTGTGTGTGTGTGTGTGTGTGTGTGTGTGTGTGTGTGGTATGTTGGGGGAGGGCACAACAAGACATCCACAGAGAGCCCTTTGTAACAGTTTAGTAACCTGAACAGAAAAACCTTTGATAAACTCCCCAGAGAGCGTAAATATTTCCCCTCTCACATGGCCCAGGTAACGATGCTATGAGAGAAACAAGATGACCTTTTCCATCAACCTCAATAAGCCCTAATACCCGAGGAAGGAAGTAGGGTCTGGTTTCCACGCTCGCTTTGAAAAACATCAGGGCTTTGTTCCTCGGGATTTCTCTTCCAGGATTTGTAACACACGGCGATTTGACTTGGCAGGAAAAGCATCTTCTGAACACAAGGGATTGTTTTACAGGTTTTGAGCTCGGCTCTCCGGGTCGGCGGTGCGCTTCTGTCATTTTCCCTTGAGACCACTGGGTGGCGCTGAAGGAGCCGGGATTGCCAGAAAGACTGTGGCTTCCAACTGCTGTCAGAGGGATTTAGGGAAGAGCAGTCAGTCACACAGGTATCAGGACAGGTGAGTGGGTGGGAAGGAGAGAAAAGTCAGCTCCCTCTCGAGCTCATTTCTATATGGACAGTCCATGCTTCGATCCCCCCACGTATAGATAAGGAATTAAAGTGTGTTTAGGAAAGATGCGTTTAGTTGGAAAATGTTCTTTTTATTGGCGTGTAGAAGACTATTAGAATTAAGAACGGGTAGAGGCAGCTTCACCAAGTGGCCTGGCTGTGTCTGTCCTGGTTTGCCATCCCCCTCTAACAGCTAATGGCATGGTTTTAAATTTACTCCCTCCCTCTCCTTCCTTTCTTTCCTTCCTCCCGTGCAGTCTTCATGCCCCGGCACCACCGCCGATCACCAGCAGCCCTGCATTCTGAGTACCAGTCTATCTCAAGCCTCCCTAGGGACCAGCCATCTCCTCCTCTCTGCTGCTCTCCTGAAAACCAAAATTTGCTTAGTAATGTCACATATTAAAGACCAAACTAATCCAGGAGTCCCTTCCCCAGCCCGACCTCCTCTTTCGGCCACTCGTGGTCTGTATCCTTCCCTTCTCAACAAACGCTGACACTCCCAGCTTGCCTCTAGTTTGGTGTCTGTCCCCTCAGCGCCGCTGAAATCCGTAGCCAAATCCGGAGATTGCTTTTGCCCCTTTTCTGCCATGATTTCTCACATTGAACGTGGACAGTACAGGGCTCTTGGAGCTCTTTCCATCCTTGGTTTCCATGATACTCATATCCCTCGCTCGACCTGAACTCCCCTTGGTACCATTTGGAGCTACATTTCCCACAAAGCATTGCAGCAGCTGTTAAAAAAAAAAAAAGGAGCTTCAAAGACCTTACCCATAGCAGGACTTGGGCCTGGGAGACAAGGTGACCAGAGTTCTATCTTTCCATCTATTTTTACTAAGTCGGGGTAAAGTTGGCCAAGTATCCTGAGTATTGAGTAGGTCCCCAAGATCAAAGGATGTAGAGAAGGGTAACGGGCAGGAAGGTTTTGACTAGTCACTTGTCACTGTGACAAAAATGCCTCTGAGCAAAAGATCTTAGAAAAGGGAGGGCTTTTTGTTGTCGCTGTGGCATGTTTGTTTTTGTTTGAGACAGGATCGGTCTCTCAGTATATGGATAACCTGAAGTTCACCGCCATTTAGGTTGTCCTTGAAAGCTTCCTCACTGCTGGGATCACGGGTGTGCCGCCGAATCCACGTTTAGCATGTAGTTTGAACAGGGATCTGGTATGCAGGAGACTCCCGGCTGCACCGGAGCAGCTGGGGCAGCTCTTCTCCGGGAAACAAGAGCGGATTCCAAGATGACTCACTCACACAGCTAGGAGCAGGGAACTAGCTGTTGGCTAAGAGCTCAAGATGAGGCTCAGGGGAGGGGCCCTTGGTTCTTGTCCATGTGGCTTTTTGTGATCTGGTTGAGTTTCTTCACAGTGTAAGATCTGGGGCCCAAGGAAGACTCTCAAGAGACAAGAAATAAAAGTTGTCAAGAGGATGCAATGGAGGCTGCCTCTAGGAGGCAAGGAGAACATCAGAGAATTTGAACCTTTCTGTCTTTCTCTGCTGTCCTGGCCTCTGTGACTCAGTTTCTCACCGTGTCTTCTCACAAGATTCAGAATCAAGCAACAGAAGCAAACTCATCCCGTTCCCCTGTGGATTTGCTGAAAACCGGGGACAAACTCAAATACCACTCCAAAAGAATATGAGAAGGAGAAGCCAAGTTGGCCCTGTCAGGATCCCCACAGAAATGGAATGATAGCCCGGGGGAGCTGAAACTTGTCCTGTGTGGAGACTGGCGTTACATACTGTCTGTGTAGACCAGGCTAGTCTTGAACTTACAAAGATCCACCTCCCTCTGCCTTCCATGTGCTGGGAATAAAGGCGTGTGCGCCATCATGCCAGGCTTTGGGCGTGTTCGATGGGGAATGTGACTTGCTTTTGGTCTGCTCTATATAAACAAGTTGACGGGCCCAGTAACAAACTCTAATTTGTTTAAACAAAAAAGGAGACCACGGGTGGTGACACAGGCCTTCAGTCTCAGTGCTCAGAAGGCAGAGGCAGGTGGCTCTCTGTGAGTTGGAGTTCAGCTTGGTCTACAAAGTGAGTTCCAGGTCAGCCAGGGATGTATAGGGAGACCCTGTCTCAGTTTAAAAAGTAATAATCTGGAGGTCATGTTTCAAACCATGCCTTCACCCTTCTTGTTACTATTGGTGTTTATCTTTTTAAACTAGGACTCGGGGATGGGGAAGGCATTCAGAAAAGGGGAACTCAGGAGGTTATGACCATGGCCTTATGTTCTCTATTTTTCTATCCCAATCTTACGACTTTTCCTCCATAGCCCAGGCCAAGCTCCCAGGGAAAAGAATGGCTGTCAGTAGTTTGATTCATTGCTCCTTCCAGGAGGGTAGAAACAGCAAGTGCTGGGGTTTTAATCGGTCTGACACTCCCCTTTGATGGCCAAAGAATGATGGAGTCAACGGAGAATAAGGATCAGAAATGTCGGAGCTAATGAGTCACTGCATGTGTGAGAGCCCGGGGCCCATGGCGGCTGACCTCCCCAGCCCAAAGCACAATTCCAGCCGCCCCCGTTATTGTTGCAGGTGGATTATTACTATTAGCGTCATTGAAATGATTTAGTTGTTTTGATTTGTTTCGAAAGTAACAGAGACTCACGGCTGTGAGGTTCTGGCAGGGCCGGGCTTTTTCCTCTGAGGTTGGTGACCTAGAAGTGAGATGTCATGCTAACTAGGGTGGGCATCAGTGTAGCAGATCTTCAGCTGAAGCTACTAATTTGCTGGCCCAACCCTGCCAAGACACCATAAGGGTAATGACTTTGTTTCTTTCCAGACTCAGACCAATTTGAGCCCGTGACCTTTAATGACACCGTCCTTTCCATAGCTATGTACTGAAGGAAAGAGTGATGTTTAGTCAGCGAAGTGACTGTTTCCAACGATGAAGGTGTCAAAGGACAGAAATGTACCAAGGGCTCAGATCTGCAGGGAGAGTGGCTCAGTCAGTGACCACAGTAGCATTTACACCAGTTAGATATGTCTCCCTGATACAATCTTCCTTTCGAGAGTCTCACATTAATTTTCCTAATGGACACACCCTCCTTCACTCTCATCAGCCCTGGGATTCAGCAATGACTTTCACCCGGGGGAATTTATAAGTTGCAATGAATAAGGAGAACTTTCATGTTCAGGAAATTTCTCTTTGAGGGTGCATGGGGGAAGAATCTGAAAAGTCACTAGATGTCAGCTTGGAATTCAGGAATCATCCCTTCAGGATTCTACATCTTTCACAACTTAACTTTGTGTAGGGTCTGTCCAGTCTGTGCTTCAGCCTTGTGGGAATGTCTCAGCTGGAGGGATTTGGGACATTTTGTCAGATTACCCTCAGATTTTTGTTATTCCTTTGACATGGGTTCAGTTTTCTGCTACACTTTTAAAAATGACATTCATTTTTAAATTTAATTTTTTTTTATTTCACATGTATCGGCATTTTGCCTCTATGTGTTCTCTGCACCTTTTGTGTGCCAGCAGAGGGCATCAGATTTCCCGAACGGGAGTCACAGATGTTTGTGAGCAACCATGTGGGCTCCAGGAATCAAACCCAGGTCCTCTGGAAGTGCCAGACCCTTTTGCTCAAAACCTTTAACAAGACCCTCTTTATATCTAAGTGTCAATATAAAAAATGTAGGGATTAGGACTAGAGAGATGTCCCAGTGGTTAAGGGCACTTACTGCTCTTCTAGAGGACCTGTGTTGTGGAATAATCTTCTTCTACACTGTAAAGATTTATCACTTGGATCGGTTTAATAAAAATCTGAATGACCAATAGCTAGGAAGGATTTTGGGGTCAGAGAGGATGTTGGGAAAAAGAAGGGCAGAGACACAGTAAGAAGCCAGACAGAGCAGATACACATACACACAAAATGGGATAGAGGTAAAAGCCACATGGTAGAAAGTAGATCAATAAAAATACGGGTTACTTTAAGTTGTAAGAGCAAGTTAGTAACAGGCCTAAATTCTGGCTGAGCTTTCATAATTAATGAGAAGTCTCTATATGGTTATTTGGGAGCTGGCAGGCGGGACAGAAAAATCTGCCTACAGACCAGAATTCAGTTCTTACAACTGATGTTGAGCCACTCACAACTGCTTACAACTCCAGCTCTGGGGGGGCCAACATCCTCTTTTGTCCTCAGACACCTTCACGTATGCGGCATATATTCATATAGACACACATAAATCCACATAAGCAAAACCAAACCTTTTTTTTTTTTTTTTTGGTTTTATAAGACAGGGTTTCTCTGTATTGTTTTGGAGGCTGTTGGTCCAGCCCGGCCTCGAACTCACAGAGATCCGCCTGCCTCTGCCTCCCAAGTGCTCGGATTAAAGGTGTTCGCCACCACCACCCGGCTGCAAAACCAAACCTTTAAAAGGTAAGGATGCAAGGTTAAAATACTTGCATCATATAGCTTACCAGCTAGTTATAGCAAGATCTTTCTGTCTTAAATAATTTTGGTACAGGAGTATGAGGTAGGTGTGGCAGGTAGACAAGATGGCTCAATTGTCTTTGTCTCACCTTGGCATACCTAATAGGGAAGGAACCAAAAGAGGTGAACTGAAAAGGTAACACCATGCTGCCCTCGAATCTGATCTAAAAACAACACTACTTATAAATTTGCACACATTTTTTAGGAGAGCAAGTTAGCAACTCGTATTCTAAGATCTATTGTGTCACAGGAATGGATTTGTTCTTATTTGAATTAAAGTTGGAGGACAGCAGGGTGTGATAGTTACAAGTTGGGGATTGTAGAGGTAGTTTTCTCTCTCCCTATCTGCATCTTGGGTACCATGAGATGAGTAGCCTCTACCATACCCTCTTGGGTACCATGAGATGAGTAGCCTCTACCATACCCTCTTGGGTACCATGAGATGAGTAGCCTCTACCATACCCTCTTGCTACCATGATGTTTGGCGCTGCTCAGGCTCAGTGCAATCCACACATCCAGCTGGACTAGGGCTGAAGTGGGCAACTAAAATAAGCCTTGTATTCTCCTAAGGTGCTATGTCAGGAATTCTGTCCCAAAGAGAAAAACAAACACGTGGGCATTTCTGACTCACTGTGCACTTACAGTGTTTACCACCTCTGTGGGCTGGGTGGCCCCCTGCCTGGTAACTAGGTGGCCTGGGTGGCTATACTTCCTTGTTCCTTGAATGGAAACCATCCCCTCCCCCCTCCCAGTTCTCTGCAAACCCGTGTCAGAAGTGTGAGATAAGAAGGGATGGAAGCCACTTAGTTCATTGCTTAAAGTATACCTGGCCCAGAGTAAGCTCCCACTAAATCTGTAGTATTATACACGATGTACTACCTATCAATCACGCGGCTCCATCACCAGCCCCGCAAGATGGTAGTCTTAAATCAACCCCCCTGCCTCCATCCCTTGTTCCAGTTTGTGATGTCTCAGTACCTTCTGGCTTTTTGAGCACTGCTTCCCCGGGTAGGTTCGCTGAACTTTTTCAGGAAGGGAAGCGACACGCGCTAGCACACATGGGTACACACACAATGTTTAAATAATTGACCAGCGGAGGATTGGGAACAGAGAGTTCTTGGTTGGGGCTGGAGGAAAGCCAGTCTCTTTCACAAAGAGGAGGCTGAATAACTGTTGCAGGGCCCTGAGGGGCAGGCGCAGGCGCAGGCTCAGGGCTGGTCCGCCTGTGTGACTGTCCAAGGGATTAACGTGGGTGACTGTTGCAAACCCTGGGTCGGTTGGTGGGGCATTCACACCTTGCTCAGCCGACCTCGGTGACGGGTGAGGATCCTAGCAGGGGGCCCCAGATAGACATGACCAGGTCCACTGGTACTTTTGTTTGGTGAGTGGGTACGCTGCAAGATCTGGAAAGACCCATGATGTTCGTAAACCAGAAGTTCTCAGCCGCTCCTCTTTCCTGGCACAGCCTCTGCTACGCTGGCCCGTTTTGGTCCACGTTTCCTCGTGCGGTCAGAGTAGGTCAGCGTGGCCTCCTTCCCTCTACCCTGCACAGGCCTCAGCGGCTCCTCAGCATTTCAGCATCTCCAAGCAGACACACTTATATTTCAACTGTTTTGTTCCCGGGTCTTTGTTTTTGAAATCTGTGTTATGCATATGTGTGTGCTGGTGCCCTCGGGGTGCAGAGGCGTTGGATGTCCTGGGATTGGAGCTGCAGGTGGTTGTGAACAGCTCCACGTGGGCGCTGAGAACTGGACTCAGGTTCTCTACAGCAGTACCTAACCACTGAGCCTCCTCTCCAGTCCCGCTCCCTGTGTCTTTATTGGGGAAAAGGAGAAGTGGGAAAGGACACATTCTTTGAATCTTTTATAGACTGTGTGGATCATTTCCCATAATGCCCGGAGCTCCTTCCTCACCTACTCTCTTTTTACAAACTCCTCTTTCAAACCCCAGCGAGATGGTTTAGCTGATAAAGGTGCCTGCTTCAAAGCCTGATGACCAGAGTTCAATTCCTGGGACTCACATGGTGGAAGACGAGAACCAACCCCCAAAAGTTATCCTCTGACCTATACACACACACACACACACACACACACACACACACGATAAAGAAATACAGAAAAAAATTAGAAGTCCTCTTTAGTAGCTATTTTTTTTTCCTAAAAACTGTCCTTATGCCTCCAGACAAGGTTTCTCCATTGCTTTTCAGGGCTTCCTCTGGGCCTGTTTGTACTATTACAGTTGTGTTTGTTTACTGCGTCAACAGTTCCTTGGGCACTAGGGAAATTCCCAGGAATCCACAAGGATGACCCCAACTAAGAATCTAATCTCCCTATAATGAGATTGATGACTTCCTTATATGCCATCCTCCAGCCTTTATCCAGTAGCTGATGGAAGCAGAAGCA